CTGTCAAGATAAATCATCCCCCAGTTCCCCGCAATACAAACTAAGGTTGCCTTAAAAAACAGTGCCCTTGTGAGGTATTTGTGATATATATTCCCAGTTTGCATATGGGGAAACCTGAGGCACAAAGAGGTTAGGTGACTCTCCCAAGATTATACAGTGAATTGGTGTCAGAGTTGAGACTAGAACCCAAGTTGCATAACTCGCTCCCCATACTTTATCCACTAGTCTGTGTTGCTCCCATGCTATAGATCATTGCAATTATTTATACTTCTGTGTGCTGGAAAGGGCAATGTCCATATAAGCGTTTTCCAGGCTGTGGGTAAGTGGATACTGTACATGAGGAAGGAATCGTGAATTTTCATTGTAGTAAGTGGAGAAGGGATGGAACAGGAAAACTGCCTTTTATTCTTCAAAGCTGCTGATTGCATTACTGGGCTGCAGTCTCCCAGTCTCTGCTAGCACTACCCAGTAGCTTTTCCTATGCACTTGTGTCAAAGAACCAAGATAAGTGGGGACAGTAAACATGACATTGCTAGAATAGGAAGAAGCCACTGGAATGTAGCCACACCATTTCTTCCTGTTTTTAAAACTCTCCCTCCCACCTTGCTTCTGACAGAATATTGACTAGAAACCAAGATCCCATTTTTGCTTAGCCTTAAGGGCAGCCGTTTACAGAGTAGCAGTGTTACATAGGTTTACTGTGTCGTATGTCTGTGTAACACTGGATTTGGATCTTGTATTTAGCTGCCAGAAGTGACTGTGATGAAGTGGGAGAGATAAACTGATAGATTGTGTGCCAGAAAGATGTTGGGAATCAATCAGATAAACAGGGCAGAGAAATAGCTTGCTGTTTTCTAGTGATAATAAACCAGTGGCCTCTGGTCGCTGAATTTTTAAATGTAATTGCTGTGGTGGTAATCTCCGAATATAAGCAAATGAAAAAACATCACGGGAGGTGTTCTTAATTGTGCTTGAGTCCTCTTTTCTCTTTCGCAATAAAATGTGTGACTTTTGAAGGTGGGGGTATAAATCTTCCTTTTGTTGTTTAAGTCTCTGCTTTATTTAAAAGAGAAAAAAAAACTAGCAGGAGATATTTATCAATAAATGTTGGTAAACATTAATTTCATCGTATATACACAAACTGACACAGAAATATTTCCATAGATGACGATAGAAATTCAAAGATGGACAAAGTAAGAAAAATGCTGCTTGAGAACTTGTTAGAATTTGATTTAAGACTATTTGCTTTGTATATTTTGACATGTGAAGTTGACAAATTTGTGTTTTTAATGGTTATCAAGCTTTAACATCTCTATATCTGCTGTCATTAAATAATGTCTGACTACCCCTCATAATTTTCCACAACTGTTAAAATTTAAATAATCAAAAATGCTAAAAATAAACATACATTATTATCCATCAAAATTATATTAAAAAAATAAAAATCAAATTCTGCCTAGTCTATTTATAACACTTTTTTTTTTTTTTGGTAAGAGGGGGTGATTGTCACCTGCTTATTTCAGTGATTTGCCTGTACTATTGGAATCCACATAGTACATTAGTTTCTTACATAGAGCAATACTTGAGGACATCTTTTAATGTCACAGCTGTGCAGAGGTGATTGGAAGCAGAGTCTAAGGCAGGCTGTTGTAAATGGTAGTGTTTGGGGGTGGAGGGGAGTGTACTAAGCTGCACCATCTGTTTGGTGTTGCCTCATGGTCGCACAGTTCTTGCCCCCAGAGTTTTGGCTGCCAGCTGGGGTCAAGTATGTTCTCATTCTTTCACCTTGCCTGCATGTACTCCTTTGGGCATGGTAAGCATTGCACCAGCACTGTGACTTCTCCCCACCTTTCGCTCAAGGGCTTTGGGAGGCACTGATTGAAATGAATGGAGATCTTTCTGTCAATTGTTATGGTACCTCAATTGGCCACTGGATTCCAGCTCTTGTGCAGAAGTACAAGGCAGGGGAAGCCCTCCTGAGACATCTTTGCAAAAGACAAAAAGACTCTGTGATGCTTCCGTTTCTTTTGAGTTTCAAATGCCATTTGAGATGGGGCCTGTTGTATTAATTTAGATGGAATATATGGGCCAAAGGTGTTTAACGTAAGCCAGTCACTGTCCATCATTAAACGGTGTTAAACAAGGCCTGGGGTTTGGTATACAGAAACCTCAGCCTGTTTATTACCATGGTGGAACCCCATTAAAAATCCTTTAAACTCTTTATTAAAAATACAGAAAAGAACTAATAGAGTTAAAGCATTTGGAAGGTTAAGTATTGATTAAGACTTTCATTTTAACAAAATTTCTTGTTTCCTTTCCTGTTAACTGGAGAGAGTTTTAGAAGGAACCTCCCCCCCCCCTTGTCTGACAATCTCTTAGATGGTATCAACGATGGTGATATCTGTCCTTTGGGGGAAAAGAGAAGATGTTAGTGGAGATGAGCTGCAGCTGTTATTAAAGTCTGATCCTGTTTCATCTCAGGTGGTGTTGGGGATTCTGTTGAAGCTGGTCGGGGTAGTGATGTCATCTTGATACCTCTTTTTGGCCGAACTGGTCAGGGTGTCCCTCAGGATGAGGACAAAGATGGTCCCAGTAGACAGTGGGGGTGACAGCCATGATGATGAAGCTCTCATCAGTAGTTTCCATTTGTTCTTTCTATTTCTCCCCCAAAGTGTCCTCCTTTATGAACCCAAAAAGAGAGCGATGGGTAGAATAGCTCATCCCCTCATTATTTTGTCCACCAATTGGACCTAATATCTGACACTCCAATTTTGGTTCATTAATTTCTGGTTCCACATCTTCTGTTTTTGCCAAGCATGATTTTGACATAGTCCTTGAACCATCTCAGTAGGTCCTTTTGTTGATAGTCTCTGTCTCTTTTTCCCATCAATATTTGTTGTTATAGGTTATTGTGACATCTTATGAACCTTCACATACTTTTTACAGTTAAGTGCAAATTAGAGTACATTTGTAGGCCCAGTTATCACAACAGGAACTCTGTACTTCGATTCATTCACCATGAATGAAACAGTGACATTTTGGGAAGTCTGCAAGTTGGGAGGTCACGTTGTATTTATTTTTGTTCTGTACACAAACTATACAGCATATAATATATAGCTTGTGGTGTTAAACAGACATTGGTCAGGTATCCCAGAAGACTGCATGCGACACCCTACTGGCTGCAGGAAAACACACAGATAAAACCCAACCGTTTCCCCCAGAACTTGGAAAGGAAATAGGAAAGCCTGTTTTAGCATCTGTATGCTGGCTGTAAAGCATTCTGCCTTGCTGATCCTCAGAGCAAATGTGATTGCCTTACCAGGGTGTGACTCTTATTTTGTATAGAATTCATTGTAGAAGCACCACTTTTTCTGCAGTTCCATTTTTTTCCCCCCCTGCCAAAAGCCACTCAATCAGGGCTGGCTCCAGGGTTTTTGCCGCCCCAAGCTGCGTGGGAAAAAAAAAGAAGCCGCGATCGCAATCAGCGGCAGCTCCACCGCGCTGCTTTCTTCTTCGCCGGCAATTCGGCAGCAGGTCCTTCCCTCCGAGAGGGACTGAGGGACCTGACACCGAATTGCTGCTGAAACAGCCCGACGTGCCGCCCCTTCCCCTTGGCCGCCCCAAGCACCTGCTTGCTGGGCTGGTGCCTGGAGCCGGCCCTGCACTCAATATCTTCCTTTCAGTTCAGACAGTGGGAGCCCCTCCGAGATCACTGCTAATTGTAAATGAAGGGAGGCATTGGATAGCCAGATGTTGCAATACACTGGTCTCATGGAGGGAAAAGGAGTCTGAGGGAAGTTGCTTAGCATAGGACCAAGTTCTCTAAGTGGGTGCAATTCCATTCAAGACAATAATATTTGCAATGGGATTAGATGAAATAAAAATGGTGTGTGTGTGTCTGTGTGTAGGGTAGGGTGACCAGATATCCCGATTTTATAGGGTCAGTTCTGATATTTGGGGCTTTGTCTTATATAAGTGCCTATTACCTCCCCACCCCTGTCCTGATTTTTCACACTTGCTGTCTGGTCACCCTAGTGTAGGTAGAAATAAACTTCCTGTCTTGGGCATGTTTTTGCATATTTGCCTAGTATAAGGGCCAAACTCTCACTCCTATCGATCGATCGATCGATCGTATACACAGAGAGAGAAAGATTCCTCTGACGCATCTGGAACTGGCAGACAGGTTACGCTACCCGCTATTGATCTTATTTTGTATGACCGTTCCTATGCTCCCATGAGCTGCACCTTCATACATCACCTAGGACTGCACTGTTTGTATTACGAGAGTGCCTGGATGCCCAACTCAGATCATGGCCTGTAATCTTCAGCCTACTTCACTCCTTAAGCTCCCCTAAGAAATGGTGCTGAATTCTCCAGGATGGCTTGGCGTTTTCAGTTACTGGCCAGCACTGGCTGATCCACCACCATCCCACTCATTTAGACTTAAGATCACCAGTTCATCGACCCATTGGTGGGAGACTAATGTTTGATCCAGTGTGCTACAGCATCCTTCCCCTCTATATCTGCCTGACCTTCTCAGTTGATACTGATGAGGCGGGATAAACTAATCATAAAATGATGAAGGGAATGCTGCACTAGTCGTTGATCCATTTGAAATTAACTGTAGCACAATAAGTCTTCCTAATGGCCTTCAGTTATATGCTCCAGTCATGTTTTTTTTTTCTTTTCTAAAGAAGGGGTTAATATGAATTCACCTGCTCTTTTGCCACTGGGTTTTGTTTTATTGATTGTACTTTTTTCAGCATAGTCCCCGCCACGTCACTCAAAATTCCTGCTGTCTTTTAAAGCTAGCAGTGGCTAAGAAAACAATAATGCCTTTGGTATGTGGACAGGGTTTCTAAAACATAAAAATAAAAAATTAAAGCTGTGAGGCACACAAATTCCACCCAACTTCCTTAGGCTCCTTTGAAAATCTCAGACTCAGTGCTGACCTGTGTTTAATGTGCTTTTACAGTTGGTTATTCTCTTCCCTCCTCTAGCTCCTTCGAGAACTTATAGAACGGAAAACCAGTTCGCTGGACCCCAACGATCAGGTGGCCATGGGCAGGTAAGTGATGAGCTGTCTGTATGCTCTGTAACTAGCTTCACTCCACTGCCACTTTGCTTCCATGAGTGTAAAAGTTCCCAATCCTGCTTCTTTATGTGTGACGGGTTCCCTCCGGGGGGCCCCCGGGACTGGGGTACCACTGAGCCTTCTGATTCACCAGCCTGGGTTCCCTCTCTCACTCTGCTGCTGTGACAAGCTGCAGACCCACTCCCAGTCCTACACTTTCACCAGCATTCACACAGGTAGCGACACACCCAGCTGCAATTATATGCAGGCTCTTTGACTAGCCACTTCACGAACCAACAGTAGAAAGGCTAAAGCCAAAGTAACTCTCAGCTCCCCAGGCACATCCCCCCTCTGGAGCATAAACCCAAAATTATACTGTCTTGCACTGCACAGGGAACTGTACAGCGCAAGCTCATGGAGTTCACCCCCCACTCCTCAAGGTGGAGAGGAATATGCAACAGCCTTTGCCCTGAGAGCTATGATTTCCCATGCACTTCACTCCAGCTCATTGGTTTAGATAAAGCAAAAACAAGTTTATTAACTACACAAGATAGATTTTAAGTGATTATAAGAGATAGCAAACAGATCAAAGCAGATTACCTAGTAAATAAACAAAAACGCAAACTAAGTCTAAGATACTAGAAAGATAGGATATGAATTAGCAAATTCTCACCCTGGCTGATGATACAAGCAGGCTGAAGATTCTTAAGGCACTAGCTACCCTTGCTTTGCAGCTTGGAATCCCCAGGTGTTCAAACACAGGTTCGAAATCCCTTTAGCCTGGGTCTAGCACTTCCCATAGTTCAGTCTTTGTTCCTCAGGTGTTTCCAGGAATCTTCTTGTGTGAGGAGTGAAGAACCACCGATGATGTCACGTCCTGCCTTATTAGCTTGAGCATATGGCGGGAACCCTTTGTCCCAAACCTCAGTTTGTGGAAAAACACGGACATCCCAAGATGGAGTCCAGAGTCATGTGGCCTAGTCAAGCCCTTGTATACCTTGCTAAGTCATAGCAGCATTACTTACAGGCTGTCTGGAGCCTTCTCAAGAAGGCTCACCAGGTGATAGATAAGTTTCTCCTAAGACCTATTGTTTTCCCTAATGGCTCATTGCCCTGAATAGGCCCTTCCTCACCCACAATCTAGACTGAAAGCATCTTGGCTAGTGGGCGTTACCCAGGTGTAACTACATTGGAAATACAGATACACAGTCAATATTCGTAACTTCAGATACAAAAATGATCCATGCCTACAAATAGGATAATCATCTTCAGCAAATCATAACTTTTCCAATGACACGTCACATGACTTATCTTGTACAAAATGCATCATAATTATGCCATAATCATGTCATATAATAATAACACTATGAAGAATATGAGGTGCAGTGTTAAAGTATGTTTTTGCCATTGACTTCATGGAGAGCAGTTGGGTGTAATAAGATGATTGATTAAAAGCAATGGCATACTATCAGCTAGGCAGGGTATTCTCAGTGAGGACCCTATGGCTCTGGACTGCCAGAACTTGTATTGGGCCCCACTGGTTTGCCCAAACTTGGAGAGGTAAGGGGGCTTGATAGGGGCGGAGAGTGGGGAGGAGGATGGAGGTGGCTGGGATATGCAGCAGCAGCTCTTGTACTGAGCTTGTAACAAGTCTTGTAACAAACTTTGGAACTATTGAATTCAGTTGTTGGTGCAGCACCTAGAGGAATGGTTATAAATAAATAAAACCGATAAATCACCCCAATAATAAGTAATGGCTTAAAGATGATGCCTGAAAGCATTATTACTCTTTTGCAGCCAGGCTTATTTCTTTTCAAAGCCCCCTGCACTCTTTCTTGCTTTCAAGACTTACTTTTCCTGTCTACCTCCTATCAGACTCCCTGAGTTTGAGGGAAAGAGTCTTGCTGTAGTCTGACAAATGTGCTCTAGATGAAGCGACTGGTGAAATTTGGGATCAGATTATGAACTCTGATTTGTCATCCTATAAAGAAGCAAACTTGCTGTATAATTTGGTGTTCCCTTGTATGCACCTTCCCTGCTGTTTTTTTTTTTTTTTTTAAAAGAGAAAAGGTACAGTACAATTAAAACAGCAGACGGGAATGTTTCCTATGTGCCAAAAATAAAATGTATTCTTTGAGAGGGAGCTCTTATTTCTCAGTCTAATTCTGTGGCTAGAAAATACAGAACATTCCAAATACTGCTTAATGAACAGTATACATTTAAATAGCCATAGGCCATAATTTAGAAAAGCGTAAAAGGAAAGGAAAGCTGAAAACGATAGAATAGAATTCTCCACTGAAAAGTGATATGGGGATGTGTGTGTATAGGGGGAAAGGAAGGGAAAATGCTTTATGAAATTTTGTGTTGGTGAAATAACTTTTTATCCATGTGAAATATGACTTGAAGTTTAGTGCCGTAGGTCAAATTTATTTTGTGTATGTCTGAAATATTATGGAAAGCTATTCACTATAATTTAATGTGGCATAGCCAAAATTGCATTTAAGTGGTGATTACATTGTACATTTATCTGACTTTACAATAAAATAGATTACAGTAATTAAGATTATATTAAGATTGCGGTAATTGGATTTTGCTAGATTTTTCCCCCGATATTGGGTTTTCATTGTATAAATCAGGTAAGAGGACGCTTGTTTCTTTTTAAAAAAAAAATGTTTGTAACTAGTAGCAGTTTATTTCCCCCTGTGGAAACTTCTTTGACTTGAGCAAGCTCTGTTTGAGGAATTGAATCCTCCCTTCTAAATAGTGATGGGGAATAAGCAGCACTTTCTGAATTTGCTTTTTGCTTTCCTTTTGTTTGTTTTTATTAAGAAATGCACTTAACATTATGCAGTGGTTTTGGCGGGGGATTTGCCAGTTATTATAGTCAGAGGTAGTGGGAAAGAAACACTCGCTTGTAATTTTATATACGCTTTCCAAAAGCCTGGAAGGAAACTAATTCAAACGGAACTGCCGTATAACATTAAATCTGTTTATGAAGTTAGTATAACCCTCCCCACTTAAAGAACCAGCTACATATGTAGCTTATGATAAAAGGAGATAGGTAAACAATCTATTCTACTGCGTGCATTCTTTATACAAAATACAACTTATTGTAATAGCTGTTGAAACAAACAAAAACAAAAAAATGCAGTAACCCTTTAAGGGTTTTTACTGGCCTTAGCATTTCTGTTTGATGAAGAAAATCTTTTGAATTCTAAAGATTCTTTTTTTTTTAAATTATCAATAGCCAAGAAAGAATAAAAACATAGTGCCAGATTGTACCCGCTGTGGCTTTTTCCTGCACACCAGACGTGAATTCCCACTGAATATTAATCATTGCATCAAGACCAGGCCGACTTATCTGTCTCCCACAAAATGGCTGGGGCTTCAGCCCCTGAGATCTGCCAGTGTCCGTGGTCATCTACACATAAGCCCTTAGTCTCTAAGGTTCCCTGTGCTCTCCTGTTTGTAGCTATATACTCCTCCTCAGGGGCATTTCAGTATGTAGTACAGGGAGACTGGTGTGTGCTAATGAAAACGAGGGCAGCGTTAGTTTGCAGTGGGGTCCTATACAGGGCTCAGGTGATGGACAGTGCCACAGTTATTTAGGGTACCAACTTTAGGGCGAAGAACAATGCTGTGGGCATTTGAGCTTTTAAAACTGCATTTCCATGGTTTTTACCATTGTCACCTTGTGATTCCTCCTAAAAATTGGCCTGATAAAACAGCCCTAGCAATGATACGTAACCACCACTTTGGATTCCCCAGGCAGTGGCTGGCCATCCAGAAGTTACGAAGCAAAATACAGAAGAAAGTGGACCGAAAAGCCAGCAAAGGAAGGAAAATCCGGTGAGTGGCAGCTTCTTCAAACTACAGAGAAGTAGCTCTTGTTTCATCAGTTGTAACCCGACTGCCCTGTTTTGGCACCGGAATGCTTTGCCAGACTCGTTTTGTCCTTGCAAGGTAGATGATGTTGCTTTGAGACATGCCTGTTGGGGGAGGGAGCTTTTAATGAATCTAGAACTAGTGATCAATTGGATATAATTGCCCAAATCAGTCTTTACAAGAATGTTTCACTGGGCATAAAAATGTCAGGGAAAGACTTTCAGAAATGCCTAAGAGATTGAGGGCCACAAGTCCCAATGAAAGTGAATGGGACTTGTGCTCCTAAATCCTTTAGGGCTAGATTTACAAAGGTATTTAGTTGCCTAAAGATGCAGATAGATGCATATGCCTGTGTTAGGCACCTAATTGTGGTAGACTTTCAATAGAGATGAGGTGAGTGAGGTAATATTTTTTAATAAACTTTCAATGGGAGTTAGGTGCCTGTCTGGGTTAGGTGCTCTTGTAAGTCCCACTAGCCACTTATCTGCATTTTTAGGCACTTAAATTCTTTTGCGGATCTGGCCCGTAGTCACTAAAATTTGTGACCTTTTCCTTCTAATGTTTGCATTTGCAAACTCTTCCAGGTTGTGGGGTGAGGAAGGAAAGTGTGTAGAGGAGCTGGATTTGTTCCCCTTTGCAGAGCAGGTGCATTACTCTCCCTGAGTTCAGAGTGACTGCATGATTTGTAGTGGAGGAGGGATTTGTAGCACAGAGGCACGCCGGAAAGCTGCACTGCTTCCTGAAAAATCTGCAACATTAACCAGCCTTTTGTGAGTAAACTATAAATCTTGAGTTTAGATGGCATCTGATAGAAAGTCAGTGGAGTCAGTGTGGGTCAGGCCTGGCATAGCCATTTTTAAGATAGATGTCGTAAGATAATTTATTAAAAGAGGGACGAGCTACTTTGTTGGCCTGAAAAGCCTGTAATTATTGACTATCAATATTCTATTCTGTCAGCATCACACATAATTGGATATATTCATGATTCAGTCAAAACTACTGACAACATCACACAACTGAGTCAGACTCATAAACCTTTAGGAATAATGGGGCAAGTCTCTCTTTGTGTGTGATCCATGCACTTCGGAATTCTTGAGAGATCAGAAATCCCTCAGCATCCGTGGCTTGTTACATGTTAGCTACCTTTTTAAACAAGAGTTGCACTGACCCAGGGGAAAAAGTATAAATGTATAGAAAAGAAGAAAATATGCATTTGCTGATGTATGTGATTAATGCACAATTAAATCCTATCATCTTTCCAAGCAGACTAGGTTCAATTTTTGGCTCTGCCACTGGGTCACTCTGTGTGTGTGTGTGTCTGTCTGTCTGTCTGTCTTGAGTGATTCACTAAATCTCTCTGCACTTCCGTTTCCTCCTCTGCAGAACGTGGATAAATGTCACTTATCTTTTGTAAAGCACTTTGAGATCCGGGTGCGAAACGTGCTATGTAAGCACTAAGTATTAATTGCTGTTACTTATCATTGTAGTCGACCGTCATCATACTGGCTTTCCACACCTTTCTGTGCTTTAAGATGTTGGGATGAAGGGCGCTGTGTAAGTGCAAGATGCCGTCGAGGATTCTCTAAGCACTTTTAAAGCACCTGGCCTCTTAGCACTCCAGTGAGGGAGATGAGTGCTATCCCCATTTCACAGATGGGGAAACTGAGATACCAAAGGGTGAAGTGAGACTTGCCTACAGTCACACAGTTTGTCTTGGCAGAAAAAGACCCCGGGAGTCCTATCTCCCAAATCCCTTCTCTCACCCACTAGACCATATCGCTTCCTGAGTGGATATCTGAGTTATAGATGTCTACTTGTCATGGAATAATTGTGCATCTGTGACTTGGGATGTCTCACGGTGTCTGTAATTTAATACTTTATATCTGATAGACTGGGGTTTTGGAAGCTCACATTTTAAAAGTGTGAGAGTAACTGGGCAGACAATTAGTGGTGGACAATTTATTAGTGTAATTAAGCCCTTTTTTCCAATTCACAAATTGTCCCTGAACATACTGTGATTTGTATGAATGCATTAATTGTCAATATCACTTAAGTGAACCCATAGAGTGAAATACGTTCTCTTGTTTCACATTTCATCCTGTTGATTTTTTTTGTCATTTGTGGCATTTGTTTGCCCCAAGTCACAGTATTGTTCCCTGATTGGATGACTGCAACATTATAAGAGGGCGATTGCTTCAATGAGGAATGACAAAGACCCGTGTTTGTGCACAAAGGTCCATGTTCAAGGGTGAATGTGGTTATTTGCATGAAGAGCCATTCTGCGATATTCATGCGAGCTAAAACTCTCTCCAGGGAATGTTCCTGGATAAGAGAACAAAAAGGAGTGTAAAGGTGCCCAAGTAGAAAGGTGGTTTGTGAATCCTTTTGCCTGCTATTCATCAAGATGTAAGAATAGGAATGACTTGGATAAAGCGTTTCGGACTTGGGGAGCCAGCAGAATACTTTACATAGAAAGCTGCTGGGTTGGAATCGCCTGCTCTAAAGACTAAGGGTGTAAAATCAGTGGCCTGTTCTGAGTTCCTTTGTAGTCTGTTTAGATTTTATTTAGCAGCTCCCGGAGCGTGAGGGGTGGACAGACTTCTGCAAGTTTCTGACCTAGTTGGAAAAACAAACTGGGGATTGGGCGCTCACAGGTGCAGTGTATTCTGGGGAGGCAGTTTGTTCTAGTGGACAAGTAACTGGACTTGGAGTCAGGAGCTCTGCAAATGTGTGACTTTGGGCAAATGACTTCACCTCCCTGTGCCTCTGTTGTTCCCACCCCTTTGTCTGTCTGGTCTTTTTATACTGTAAATTGTCCAGGAGAGGGGCTGTCTCTTACTACGTTTATATAGCCGCTAGCCCAATGGAGCCTCAATCTTGGCTGGAGCCTCTAGGTCCTACCATGACAGATAATAATAATTCATGAAGGGAGACTGGTATTGTGGGAAAGCCTCTAGCAATCTAACCCTGCTCCCACCAGTGGCTTTTTGTTTGGGCACCAGTACTAAAGAGTGACTGAGGGCAGGTCTTCACTACAGGGGGGGGTCGATTTAAGATACGCAAATTCAGCTACACGAATAGCGTAGCTGAATTCGACCTATCGGAGCCGACTTACCCCGCTGTGAGGACGGTGGCAAAATCGACCTCCGTGGCTCCCTGTCGACGGCGCTTACTCCCACCTCCTCTGGTGGAGTAAGAGCGTCGATTCGGGGATTGATTGTCGCGTCCCGACGAGACGCGATAATTCGATCCCCGAGAGATCGATTTCTACCCGCCAATTCAGGCGGGTAGTGTAGACCTAGCCTAAGACACTGTTAGGGGAGAGTCTTTGATTCGTCAGAGTTTTCTGTCTTGGGTTAAAGTTCAGGTGCAAGTAGACTGCTCAAGGACGCTGGAGTGTTTCGCTTTTGGCCGTGACAAAAAGTGATTGGTTTATTATTGCTCATCCACCATGTGGCATATGTTATCATCTGACTTTTATTCCCCTCTTGTTAACGTTAGGAAGGATGGAAAAACTGCCGACTCGAAATAGAGAGTCATTAAGCATTAGCCAACAAGGGAGCCGGCGTTTCCATTTCGGGGACTGGGACATTTCAGTGCAGGCAATGGCATTTCCTTTTCTTTAATAGTTACTAATGTGCTGTCTGTTTATTTCCTGCCTTATTCAGGTATCATGTCCATAGCAAACTGGTGAGCTTCATGGCACCTATTGACCACTGTACAATGAATGATGATGCCAGGTGAGTAATAGATTAATTATGGTTCTCAAATGGCTTCATGACAGCATGATATTGACCTGTTCTTCAGTCTGTCGCCCTCTCCATTTCTTCTTATCAGTTAACCATTTGTCACTGGCATTGTAGCCTGGGTGTCTTGGCCACATCTGTCCAGGCAATCTCGCTGAGCTTTCACTCCTGTAATTACTGTAAAACCAAACGAGAAGTTTCTATAAATCTTGATGCCAACTCCATGATTCCTGCTTTAAAAATCCCCCAGATTTTAAAATCTCTTCATTCTGGAGCATGATTATGGACATAGAGAGCCAAATTCCCCGGTGTCCATTGGCTGAAATCCCAGTTTAGAAAAATAATCAGGCCCTTTTCATCAGGAGTGGAGAGTTATACGCTATAGTCTTGTGAATTTTACGTAATATGAATGCTGTCAGTACAGCTAACAACCAGACGTAGTACCAAAAGAAGGAAATTCACTTAAAAGATCTAAATGATGTCTAGTCTTTATTCCTATTTAAATAATAAAAATGTCTGTGCAAGGCTGTAGGAGCCCTAGCACATTTAATTAGTAAAGAAAACAAAACAAAACAATGTAACTATGAGCTTGACTGCTGGTAAGTGTTTTTGTGGGAGGGAGGTGGGCTTAATTTTCCAATGGATGTATTTATGCTACTTGAGAGATGCTTTTCTTCAGGTTCTTCAGACGGGCATTTAATCTTAACAGTTAGAGAGATGCCCATTTGTACGTTCATCTGTCTGGAATATGGCAATCACGCTTGTGCTGTTCCTAGTCAGTATCCTTTTGGATATCGTTGTGGGAGTAATGGTGTAGAGTTCAGGGGTCCATAGAGGTGTCAGTAGTGACCTGGAAAAGGCTGCTTTTTGGCAACTGGTAAAGAAGTTGAATATTGCTCTGTTTTTAATACATTAGGACCCCATTTATCTGAACAGGGTGACTGGTTGTTTGGATAAACAGGCCGGCTCTTTCTAGGCACATGATGCCCAATGGGAGACCTAATAGAGTTTCGGGTAATAGGCTTTCAGGTAAGGAATGTTTAGAATAACGTGTGTCTACTGTATTTACCAGAAAGAATTACTGCCTCTGTGTAGCAGTTGAGTTTCAAATCTCCATGTCTCAACTTCTTCCCTGGCCCGCCAAAAACATAATCGAGCGGGTGCATCGCACATGGCTTTCTGGATGTGGCCAGCCTGAAGTGAGTTGTGGGTACTAGTGATTTCCTCCTATTCCGATCTCCCTCACGCATCACCCTTGAAGTTTAAGCATGAATGTTCCAGAAGCCACACAGGTTATGCTGGTTTAGAGAGGGAATAGCGGTCCTTGTGGTAGGTGAATAGTTGGTGGGCCCCGGGTCCTTTATTGCTTTGTAGATCGTAATTGGCATCTTCAGTTTCACCCACAAGTTTGCTGGCAGCCAGCCGGCAGCATGGGAGTAACACACTCATGCCTTGCTGTCTTGCCCAGAGAGGCTTACCGACTTCATTCTATGCTGCTCAAATTTCTAGGTGGCCCTGGCAGGGACCCCTGCGGTGACATAGCTTAGGAGTAACACAGGTATTGATGTCCATGACAGGCACTGCAGCACAGTGGAAAGATCACAACCTTTTGGCCAAAGCTCAGTCATTGCTAGATTCTGCCTGGAAGAAAATTCTAAAACCTGATTATTCTCTTGGCCTCTTACAATAAAAGGGGATGTGTTAGAGACACAGGCTGAACATTCCCATTCCCTGATCCACATGTATGCCTGAACAGGGCTCATTTCATAGAACCTGGGCTGCCGCTTCTTCCATCTTACTGGCTTTTCTGTAAAGATAAGGGTAGCTGCTTGGTTTGTTTTCACTTTTAAGCTCTAGTGTCATTAATGGCTATGGGGAAAGGCTGAAGTTGCAGCAGCAAATTCTCCCTTTCTTGACTATTCATTAGTAAGTTACTCACCTTGTCGCAGGGACAATGTCGGCTACTTCCTTTTCATAGGTTATTTTGCATTCTCCATTTTTTCTGATGACCTTTTAAAAATGCATTCACCTATGGGTTTGTGAGAAGTAGCTTGAGGTGAGAAGAGGTGCGTGCTGGAACTTGTGGGCTAGGGGAGACTTGTACACATGTGTGTTTGGATGGACAGGTGCACTTATATTCTTCTGTTGACGAAGGCCACCATTAGCATTTTAGTGTTAGCATTGGCACTACCAGCAAAGATGTGCTTATAGTGCTGGGACTGGGGGCTTTGCTTTTTGGGATGGCCCAAAGGGGAACCAGGTGGGAGACGTTAAAATCCACGTGTTTCTATAAACATGGGAAAAGAAGCACCTCTTGCTTTTAGATTGCAAAAATCAAGCCTCAGCATAAACATGTCCCTAAACTAGTCTCTTCTACCTTTCTTGTAATGTGCTTCTCTCACTACCCAGGTCTTAATTTATTTATTTTGTTTTAGCGTAATTAGTGGGTGGCATGGTAGGAAACCCCCCCGTAAGAGCTGGTACACACCTTGTGCATAATAATATGCTAGATTCTAATATTTCTCTATCCCAGTATTATCTCCAGTTGACTGGCTGTGACTTATGCACTGAGAATTTTAAATGAGGTTGGGGGTGTTTTCCGTTGTGTGTGTATGTGAGAGATATATATTCTCCTATAGATTAATCATGCACACACCCCCATGCACACAAAATGAACGACACCTCAATTTACCTGCGTGTGTGCATAAGTATAAAATAAAAAGGCTGATAAGAACCTAGGAATTGTCATAGCATGTTGGCTCAGGCCGGAGGTGACCTTGCCACCACTTTGTCAGGGGACAGCAGTTGTGTTTGTTCCAAAAGTTGCACAGAGCAGCCTGCGAGCCGAAACCCCATACAGCGCGCACGCCAATGCTAAATGCACTGGAGCAGCCTGGAGAACAGAGCAGTTCAGGGGCAACCATAACCTGTCTGAACTGCAACACACTTCATTGGGCGGCTGTCCTCCCCCACCCTCCCCCCCCACTTTTCAGAGAGGCACCTTGACTCCCAACTAAACGCAGGGGGTCCAGCTGACCCTCAGAACCTATTACAGCTAATAGGATGTTATCTATGTTATGCTGTGTCAACATAGTTATCACTGTGATGGGGGAGAGAGTGTTTGACATTTGGTTTACTGAAAGCATCTCCTGGGGGCTTTCACCACTTAGAGCGGGTTATTCTATCGCTTGCATGTTTTACAGGTTCTTTCTCTGGCAGGAATGGGGGCAGCAGCTGCTGCTGCTCATTGCCTGGCTGTGTGAAGTTATTTCTGTCATTAAGTTTATCATCCACTTTGGGCCTGGTGTACTTTTTAATGGCATTGAAGTTACTCAGCTGGGTTTCTAGTCATACAAAATGTTCCAGCTAGCTTGTCGGTTTGTTACCCCCAGCCAGTTGCCAGAGTGGGTTTTCCAGCAAATTTGCCATTGGATTCTAGCTGGGTCTGACCGACGCATGCTTCTACAACGTGCAAGGTTATACTTTCAAAATATACACTGAGGCAGCGTAGCCTAGTAGATGGGGGCTGAACTGGGAGGGAGACCAGCTGTATTCCAGGCTGTCCCACTGGCTTGCTATTTATAGTGCTGTAGAGGGAGCCCAGGTCTGTAGTCCTGGGCTCTGAGACTCACTTCTGTAGGTCTTTTTTGTTTGCAGTGTAAACATACCCTAGAGATCTTTAGCACCACACTGCAGTGTTAGACAACAATTGAGGAGAGGATGAGAGGAATGCAGTATCCAATTTAAACTGTGGGTGAATTTAAAAAGGGAAAGATACCTATGTGCATGAACATGGGAAAGTAATGATAACACGGGGTAGTAAAAGGTAATTTTATTGCTTGCAAGTGTGAATTACTGAATTGCTCAGATGTCTAGAGGCATGACCCCAAAGTAAATAAAACTCTATACCACCATATATTGTAGTCTGAAAAGGTTTAAGCCGGAAACAAGTTTTTAAGCCTAAAGAAGGAATTAATTGTTAGAGGGTTAGGGAGCTGGGGCTGTAATAAGGGCCTGAAATAGATACATTTATGCATAGGCCACTTGGCACCACTCTGACAGTGTAAAGGGGCCTTAAAATGCCAGGTTTATGCTTATATGTACATGTGAACTATGCTTACACCCGCTTGCCGTGTGAAGGGACCATCTAGAATGGTGTAAATAAGAATCCAGGTCTCAGTGCTTGTTGCTGAAGAACAAAGTGACAAAGAAAAGATCCATTTGAAGAGAAAGAACCTTGCGCCTGGCTACACAAATGTTTAGTTCTCTGCAGGCTGGGATGTGAATCTACCCTGCCTCTTTGGAGCGGGATTAAATCAAAGCACATTAACAAACTGTTAATATACGTCATCAGGGTCCGTGTGGACAGTCAGTGCATGGCAGGCCAGTACAGGGTAGATGCGCACCCTGGTGTGCTGTGAACTAATTGTTCATGTAGACAAGAACCTTGTCTCTTGCTGGCCAGCGTGCAGGGAAAGGGATAAGCAGTGACTTCTGAGTGGTAAACACCAGAGCGAGATGGAATATTGTTTTACATCCTGAATTTTAGAAAAGAAATGTACAAATACAATACAGCCTCTTAAAGTGCTTTGTCAACATCACTGCCACGTTCCTTCTTATTCTCGCTGCTGCTTGGAATAATAGAATTTGTGCAGGCAATTAATCTTCAGGTTGCCACTTTTTCGTGCACCCAAAACATGGGCATAGCTGTTTAACCTCGTATTCACATATATTATGTTGTAATGTATGGTACACTGATGGCCTCCAACCTTGGATATTTTAAACCCCCTCTGGTATTATTTTAAAGTATATATTGGAAAGGTGGTTTTATAGCTATTTTAGGGATTGTGTGTGTGTGTATAGGTATAGATTTAGATTTCATATTTAAATTTAAGATTGGGATTTGTACACCTATCTGTAGTATCATCACCACACCCCTTTAAAATAGGGAAGTGTTATAAATCCCCATTGTATAGATGGGGAATAGAGACACA